GGGGGAGCCGTGAGGCTGTGCTGTGTGCGTACGGGAGAGAGGGAGTGCGGGAGTGTGCGTATGTGTATGTATGAGCGAGGGAGTGAGAGCGCCTGTGTGCTGTGTCGTAACGTGGCAGGGCACAGGCAGTTATGAAACTTTCCAATAAAGTCTCAGCGCGTCAGTATTGGTTGCTTGGGGTTTGGGTGTTGTGTTGTTTTTTTTTTTCTGTCCATTGCCCTCCGGTTTCATTTCCATTTATGAGTGCACAGAGAGAGGGAGAGGTTGAGAAATGCTAGCAGCCCCCCCCCAGCTGCCGGAGGAGCGGAGCAGTTCCCAGGACAGGTGGAGCACGCCGCCGCGGCCCTGAGCGAGGTTCCCAGGGCCTGGTGCCTGGGGACAAGGGGAGGGAGAGCCCTCGCACTTGGGGCAGCTGTGATTGCAAGGGGCCCCTTCCAAGTGCTGCAGCAGCAGCCAGAAGTTCGACTTTTATTTTTTGAAAGGACTGGAGAAATTATTAACCACAGTTGATGACGTCAGAGTTGATCTGATTAAAGGTTTGTTTTCTTGCTGGCAGAGGTGTGCTCCGTAGAGACTGGTTCTCTCTTCTTTTTTTTTTAAGTTTCTTTTTTGAACAGCAAACGGAGGGAACTGCTCGCATTGCTGCTGCTGCCGCTGCTGCTGCTCCAGCTGCGTGTGTGTGTAGTGTAAACAGGATGGTGTATCTGTAGCTGCCACGCGCAAACACACGTTTGACCATGAGGACTCTTCGCAGGTTGAAGTTCATGAGTTCGCCCAGCCTCAGTGATCTGGGCAAGAGAGAGCAGGCAGCCTTGGATGAGCGGGGGACCCAGCAGCGACGGGCCTGCTCCAACGCTACCTGGAACAGGTAAGGTCTTGCACGATGTGCCGACTCCCCTCCAGCCTCCCCGCGCTCCTTCGACCGTGATTAATGTGCAGGTAGCCACTCTGTTGGCTTGCAGGCTAGGCTGCCTTGCTCCCAGCTCAGCAAGGTTACAGTACATCGGGTTTCTGCGTTGATGTGTTACGCGTACCGGAGTTCCCATTCAAGTAAAAGACAGGAGCGGCTTTTTTCCCCATTGCTGTTACCCTTTCTCTGAAGGCTGATAGCAAAGAGCCTTTCCTGCAGATGGCTCAGCCTGCTCTTCCTTGTGACGGCCAAGGGCTTATTTCACAGGGTCCAGCTACAAATTTGTTTTTGTGTCTATTCTACATATTCAAGGTTGATTTGGTTTATTTTAGCTTAAAAAAAAATTACGTATATGCAGCTATTAAAATCATTATTTTTATCTGCATAATTATATATATTGCTGGTTGTTGATACAGATATAACAAAGTCTACTCAATTTACTCACATTAAGACAAATATGCCTGTGTGTGTATGTGCACACGCAAGCATACGTACTTTGGACAGGGAAAAATAAGCCCTGATTATTTCCTTTATTGTCTTTAAACATTTGAATTTTATTACTGTTTGATGAAAAAACCCATGCAAACATTTTGTTGTGAATGTGTCACTTAGCACAGATATTCAGAAAGCATCTTAATGACTGTTTTGGTGACACTTTTAAAGATGAGTCTTAGTCTCTAAGTCATTAGGAATTATAGTCTTACGTCCTTTTTGAAAATGAAATGTCATCTCCTGGGTCACAGCTTGGAAAGCGTCATTTGTAATGTTTTATAATTGTGTGGTGGTACAGCTGTAGGAAGAAAAATACCAGTGAACTATAGACACATTTGTTAATGGTATTTCAGTTTTGAAGAAGAAAAAAAAAAGAATTATAAAATATAACATCTTCTGTCCCTCTCACCACTCAATTTGTCATTTCATATCTGCATTATGAATTAGTTGTTGAATGCCAGCAGCACACCAAGCACTGAAACTGTACTGATCAAAAAAGAGACTGAGTTTCTGCTCAAATATCGTGCTGTTTATATGACCTGGAGATGGTGGTGGTAATTAAAGGCTAGGTTGGGCCATCTTGGCTCATGCCAGCTGGGACTTCGCTTGGCCAGTTGTCCCATGGGAAGCAGCAGGGAGTCAGATACTCCTTGGTGTGAACCAAGGTGACAGAATTTGGTCTCCAAAGCCTTTTTGTGATGGTGTGCTGACAGCTTTTGTTGGCAGGGATTAGCGTTTCCAGGTCTCATTTGCAGGGAGGGGGCTGTGGAGGCGATGTGGACGGAGAGCAGGTCAGGCACTGGGCTTGCTGGGCCAGGGAGAGCTCCCAGCTTAGGGGCTGCTGGTATTCAAACCAGAGGGTTTTCCTAAATGAGCCGGAGCAAGAGTTTGTTATTTTTAGTTCGGACAGGACAGGTATAGCTCTGGCCAGAAGTGGTTGCCGATCAGCAAGCTAAGCATCTACACATTTCACCCAAACGATGAGACAGCTTTCTCGTCGCCTGTTCCTGGAACAGGTGTCCATGAGTCATCCTGTTGCCACTTTGCGTGAACTCGGGCCTAACCGTGCTTTCCTGCAGCGGATTGTCTTTTCCCTGTGCAGGGATTGCGGGGCCGTCCCTGCCGTTTGGTGGCACGTGCCTCCCAAATGCCTTGGGAGCCCTGACAAGGGCTGCTGTCATGCGGTGGCAGGCTGGTGCTACCTGCGGTGGCAAGTCAAGCAGGCATTGCGTGCCTGTGCTAAGAGCTGCCTAAAGCTATGGCCAGTACTGCAGATTATGAGCCGGTTGCACTGCAGACCCAAAGGGAAGGGCCTTTGTTTCTTATTTCAGAGTGCAAGGTTTATCTCCCGAGTGGAAGAGAGAGTGAGGGCAATTCTTCTTCCAGGTACAAAAAGACTTCTATCCTCTCTTGGTTTTAAGAAACTCAGATATTCTACAGGCTGTAAAACTGGAGCTTATCCTCAGGAAAGCCAGGGCTTAAATGGTGTTGGATTAGTTGTATTGAGAAGTTATGCACAGTAGCTTCTGCCTGTCACCAGTGTGTGCCCATCTTGGCATGTGTAACAGGGTCTGGTCTTCAGGGAGTTGGTGTTCAGCTCTCCTGGAGGGACTATAATGTCGGTGTCACAAACTGGGCGTCTAAACTTTGTCTCACCAGAAATCTGGGGTGGGTTTTGAAAATCTTGGTCTATAGAAGGTTTTTTATTTTTCCCCTGCAAAATGAAAACACTCCAACAGAGGACTGGCGTACCATACTTTGGTTTATGGGAATATTTGTTCTTCCAAAAGGATCACCTGTGCTATTTCATTCTGTGCAATATTGAGCATAAGAGCTTGCTGATGAAGGAAGTCAAGATGCACCAGCAGCGCTCTTCCCTCTCACCGAGCCTGGCTGTTCTATATTTAAATGTCTGCTGGTTTCTTGCCTAATGTTAGCAGCTGTGCCTGGGTGTGGCATGTGTGTATCTGCTTTTGAAACAGGCTTTGAACCAAGTTCATCAAAACTGGTGTGAGGAGTTAAAGCACAACCCCACAGCAGGCTCTGCCCCACGCGAGGCTACCGATCCCGCGCTGAAAGTCAGCCCTTTGACATGGAGCGGGGATGCTGCCTCGGCCCTGCCAGGGACTGCGCTGAAATGCTGCCGAGCTGGAATTTTGCTGGTGGGGTCTTCTGCAAGGTAGCAGCTCTATCGCTGCAGGCTTTTTCTGAGGAGGACGTGCGGCTCCCCTTCTGCAGTTGCCTTGTGTGTGGCTGCAGTCTGGCTGCCCAGCCACGTCCCCTCCGCCACCTCCGCTCTGTTCAGAGCGGTCTCAGCCCTCAGACTGTTTATACCAGAGGACGCCTGCTGCTTTCTGACACCAAGGGAGGGCAAACTGCGGGAGCCTAATCGCAGGGTTCACTGGGCAGGGGGCACGTAGCTCGTGGTGCTGGCAAGGAAGATCTCCTCCTCCCTAATAACTTTCCTTCACCTCCAAACTAAAACGCTGTACAACTTCTCGACACTGTTAGATCAAAGTGAAATTGATGCCGAGCTTTTGTCTGCTGCTATGCAAATTAGACTTTTTATCACGGCTTTTGCTGAGCTTGCTTTCCCATGAACCCCAAAAGATCTGTACAGCAACACACAACAGCAGTGCATGTTAACTAGCAACCAACAGCAACATAGTGGAACAATACAGTTTCGTTACAGCTCACAGAATTTGCATTGGATTAAAATAGCTTAGATTTTTTTCACTAGCATTGTCTTCAATTCCTTTTCTCCCCCTCTTTTCTGCTTCAGGCAAAAAATGAGGGCTGAATGCTGACTAAACCAATTGGACTGAGAAACCCAGGGTTTTTAATCTTGAGCTTGCAAGCCGGCGGGGGCCCTCTCAGGGCAAATAAAATCCATGGCGAGGTTTTCATTCTGACTGAGCTGGCACAGACTGCCTTATCAGGAGCTGATACTGTCTGAGTAGTGCTGTGGGAAAGCCTCTAGTCAAAGGCACTTAGATTCTCTTTGGTGTAAGGAAATGGAGAAGATTCACGGAAACAAGGCGTAGGAGATAGCAAAGAAATGGCAAAGAAAACACAGATGAGATGCCTGTGTCATCAGTGAGATCAGCAGTAAATCCAAGGAGACATACGGAATCAGAAAGAGTTTTATGGTTTAGGCTGATTTTTACAGGGTTGTAATAAGCACAATAACTTGCTGTAAAGTAATTTTTACAGTCATGGGAACCATATTTCATCTTCTAATTAAAAATGAATGTTTTTTCAGATCACAGGGAGGCTTTTCTAGTGGAGAAAACATTCCAGACCAGTATATTTATCTATGACTTCTTGGAAATTTTCTTTCTTCCAATATTTAATGTTTATTTAGAAATACTTTGAAATATTTCTGTCTGTCTGAGGATGACCTTCTTTTTCCTGACCCTTTATTTGGAGCCCTCTTTGGAGGATTTGGCTGTGCATGCATGGGGGGCAGAGAGAGCCGAGTTGTGGGGTGGGGAGGAGGGCTGAAGGGGTAAAGGGGACTTCCCAGCTGGCCAAGCCACCACTGCACCATGGAGGATGTGCCAGCCTTGACTAGAGTAATAGAAAGTGGTGGCGGTGGTGGAGAATTGCTGCTCCCCATAGTCCTCCAGACATATTTATGTCTGCTTGAATGCAGACATAGTCTGGAGAAGAGGAGGCTGAGGGGAGACCTGATCGCCCTCTACAACTACCTGCAAGGAGGTTGTAGTGAGGTGGGGATTGGGCTCTTCTCCCCGGTAATTAGCGATAGGATGAGCAGAAACGGTCTCAAGTTGCGCCAGGGGTGGGTCAGGCTGGATATTAGAAAGAACTTCTTCACTGTAAGAGTCGTTAGGCATTGGAACAGGCTCCCTAGGGAGGTGGTGGAGTCATCGTCCCTGGAGATGTTCAAAAAACGTTTAGATGTGATACTTCAAGACATGGTTTAGTGGACAGGGTGGCATCAGGTATACGGTTGGACTTGATGATCTTTGAGGTCTCTTCTAACCATAATGATTCTATGATTCTATGATAATTGGAAGCCAAAAACTCCATAGTCCTACACTCTGTAAAGATACTAACTCTAGTAACACCTCAGGGAAGTCACTTCACCTGTCTGTCTCAACTTCTTCATATGTAAGAGTAGTGTTTATAGTTGGTGAAGTTAGTAAACTTAATGCCTCTCAAGCTCTTTGAAGATGGAATTTTGCAGACTGGCTTATTTTCACTTGTATGATCCAGGGCATAATTGCAGCCTATCCCTCTTTGCAGATTACTTTACCTTGGGAGAAATTTCAGAAACATAAGTGAACTAGCAGCTGCAAGCTTATTTTGAAAGGGTCAAGACCTCATGGAAAGCCTGCCGAGTTGCAGCTGGACTGAAGCCGTGCTGAAAATGGGCTCTTCCCGATTGGATTAAGCTAATTCAGAAAAATGAGGTTTTATTCTGGAGTGGGGGTGTCTTCAAG